GGGCAGAGACAGGCTGGCTTTAGAAAAATCATAGGGAGAAGCAGGGAACGTTCCCTGACTAATTTATCCGCAGGGGGTGTTTTCTTGCCACTCTCCCATCCCTTTATGCATGACTTAGCTTCCCAGCCCACTGCAGCCTTTGAAGTTGGATGGCAAATAGCTCTTCAGCTGCATCCATCCCTCCCCCTAAAACAGAGACCCCAGCACAACTATTGCCATGGGCAGCCCTAGTATGTGGCTCCCCAGTGTCAACACCCCTCTCTTCTCCCCTCCTTCCTCTTCTCTCCATCTTCTCCCCATGAAGAAACCCCTTTATTATTATTATTTTTAACCTCCTACGTAAGTCTTGATGGCAAATACCACGGTTCCATGCGATGGTAAAGCCGATTTTGGGGCGTTTCGTGCGTGCTGAGAAGCTGCCCGTCGCAGGGGGCCACCTGAGCCCCGTTTGCTACAGCCACCATCTTCCGTGATCATCTGCGGGGTTGGAGGGCCCGTGTGAGCCCGCTCAGGCCCACGCCGTGCAGGTCCCGTGCGATGCTGAGCTCGGCGATGCTGAGCTCGGAGGAGGGTGTTTGCTCTCACTTGCTTCCCTGCCAATGCCTGCAAGACTCTTGTGTGTGCCGGCAACTCAAGGGAAGTATTTGGCTTCTCCAGACATCCCCTTCCTGGCAGTCTTGCCGGCTGGAGCAGCATCGCCGCATCCCCTACCCTGGAGCTTGCAGTTCGGAGCTGCCTCCCCTTGGGAAGGAGGACGCACCCCAGCGCAGCCTTCGCGATTTCCGCAGGCTGCTGCGCTGGCCAGCAAGCAGAGCAAGCCCCTCGGCAAGTCGTTGCCCCCTTTGCCAATTTATCTTGTCTTCAAGCTCCTTGTTACGGCAAATCTGGCGGTCGTTTTCCTGCCGGGTTAATCCGTAGCGCTGGGAATTGCCACCTCAGGAAGCTTGTGCCTCTCCAAAGTGCTGCTGAAAGGTGCAGGATGGAGCTCCCTCGCCACAAGGCAGTCCTGGCTGAGCCTTCCCGCTGTGGGACTGACTTCTCAAGCCTCCCTCCTTCTAGATCAGTGAAGACCTAATTACCTCAGACCACTAATTGCGCTGGGCGTACTTCCCACCTCCATCCTCCTGGCTTCACACAGGCTTGTCCCTCCCTCCATCTGGTGCTAAACCAAGAAGGGCCCGGCTGGCCAAACACGCAATTCCCTGCTCGCTGCAGCCCCCAGATTGGATGTTTTTCCTGCCCTCCTCCTCACCCGGGGTGATGCTGTTTGTTTACCCCCGTGCTTATCGCTGGCGCTTGCTTCACCTGTTGCTCAGCCCGGAGGTGCGTGGTGCCACAGGAGCGCCCGGAGATAAGCACCGGGCCAAAGCGCGCGCCAAGCCGAGGCGGAGTGTTTGTCAGGGAGGATACGGCATCACCTCGAGCTCTGGTTCTCCTTGTCCAAGAGCGAGAGAGACTTTTGCAGGCTGCAGTAAAGAAATCAAGATGCCCAAGTGATTTGCTGCCTCCTCCAAGGAGTGAAACCATGGGTGAGTCCATCGCCTTGGTCAGACTGTTGTATTTTGCCCTTCTTTGCTTAGCCTGAGAGTTGCATTTGAAAGAGGTACAGGTACCCCACTTTTTTTTGTAAATATGGATGAGACTTGCTCACTTGCTATTTTTTTAGACCCTTAATCCAAAAACAAGCAGCAACAATTTAGATTTAGTTATCAGGGTTCTGATAACTTTTAATCCCAGAAAGAATTCTGATTTTAGTTCTTGCTTTGCTGAAAACCTCCTGGGAACTCATGGAGCGGCAGCGATCGGCAGCGTGTTAATGTGGAGCATTCCCTGTTGCAGGTTTAAGGAGTGTTTTTTGCTCCCACCAGTGCCATTCAGCAGCGAGCTCTGGTAAAGGCAGATTGCCACTTAAATATCTCAGCAAAGAATATCAGAATTGACAAATATAATGTCATTTGAAGATAAAATTCACCTTGACACTTAGAAAATGTTAAAGTAGTTGTTTAAATGAGAGCCGCTGAGCCCATGTCCTGCTTCTTGGTGCAGCAGGACCCAGTGAGGATGCGACAGAATAGCCACAACATTCAGTGAGACAGAGTATTTACCACCAATACAGCTAAGCTGGTGCCAAAAAAGAGTATTTCAGCGCTTGCTAGATGCTGGGTATTGCTCTAAGAGCAGTATCCCATATTCAGTAGCTCTCTGCACTCTTGCTGATCAGGAATGAGGTCTCGGGGCGTCCCCTTTGTCTGGCTCCGGAGGCTCTGCTGGTACCAAATCGAGTGTCCGGGTGTGAGGAATGACAGTGCCAGGGACAAAGAGCGACCCAGGCCCCTTCCAGGTAGTGATGCTGATGTGAGTCTCTGCCGACAAATTTGCATCGTTGAAACACCTTTGGAAAATGTGTCATGCACATAATTAAATACCTGTTTTGCTAACTCTTAATTTAATTAATGCAAAGCAAAGGTGGCACTGCAAATTAATTTCGTTGCAAATGGCTTTTCTCTCAGTGGGCTGAAGGGAGGCTTTTTTCTGAGGGTTCTGCAGCCTCGCCAGCGTGCAGGGGGTCTCCGGGGCCGACCAACCCAGGGTGTTGATGAGGATGGAGGTGACATCCTCACCGTCACTCGGAAGCTGGGATCAGCTCACGTAGTCAGTGCTGTAAAGCAAAGCGGGAAGGCAGCGCAAGGGCAGCTGCTCGGGGAGGCAGCACAGCTGCGTTTGGCTCTGCTGCTTGCAGCCGCAGTCAGGCCGCATTCAGAAGGGTCAGTGCGAAGGAGCTCATATAACAAAATATATTTCTGTGTCTCCCCTTGATTTCTTTTTTGCTTCTGCACGCTCAGTTGGTGCCGATGTTTTTCCCTCTTGGATATAACTTTTCTGTAGCTGCTCTTCCTCTTTAAATATTCATCTCTTTTAACTTTCTTTAAAGACTTCTCCTTCTAGCTGTTCTTCTTTTGCTGTGACCCTTTCCCTAACCTTGTGTATTCTTTTTTTCCTCTGTCTTTCCACTCGTTTCTCCCTGCAGTTTAAACTTTCTCCCTCCTTTTCCACCTTGCTCAGGGTGAAGCTGGGGCAGGGATCGCTTGGAGCACGAGGGCAGCGAGGCGGCTCCGGCCAGCTGGGAACGGGGCGTCCGCTCATCCTTCCCGCAGGCCCAGCCAAGCACCAGAGCGTTTAAGAGACCAGTTTTAGTGTTCCAGAAATGCTCAGTGCTGCTTTAGCAGCTCTCAGTGCAGTAGGAATAAATGTGCGCACAAATGAAGCGAGCTCCTGGGCACCAGAACGTGGGATCTGGCCAGTCCTGCCTGCTCCCAGTAATGCCAGGAGCAGCTTTTCCCACCTGCTCTTTCCC